ATTTTGTCTTTTACGTTTATTAAGATTTCCATTTACATATTTACACAATCATATTTGTATGTACAACTTAATTGCCTTTTTGTAATTAGGCACTCGTCAATATCACAGATGAGTTTGTTTGTTTTATTTACAGTTAGAGCATAATTTATTAAGCATTAGACTGATCATTTAAAGACAAAGCTACGTAGACATTAAATCTATTTATAAAAAAGGTCTCAGCCACATACATAGTGGGGAGATTTTCGTGTGTTAATTAGGAAACAAACTGTATCTTTTTTCGCTCATCAGTCTTTCACAGTAGTTGACAGGTCCCGTAACTGCTGTCATGAATGATTGACGTGAATGACCTCCCTCGCACTCGTTCTCTCGTTCTCTCTTTCTCTCGGTTTCTTGTTCTCTCTCTCTCTCGGTTTCTTGTTCTCTCTTTCTCTCGGTTTCTTGTTCTCTCTTTCTCTCGGTTTTTTGTTCTCTTGTCCTCTCTCTCTCTCTCTCTCATCAATCCACTCCCCCATTCTCTCACATCCACTCCTCCTACCACCCCTCCTCTCCCCTCCCCCATTCCCTCCCCTCATCCGCGTCAAAACGAAGTGACCCGCATGGGGAAGACATCAAGGGCGGCGGCGGGGACAGCAAGGTCGGCGGAGGTCAATTTCAGGTCACCATCCGGGTTCTGACGGGAGTTCGCGAGTTCGAAAGCTAGGGAACGACACTGGCGCTGGCTACGGCACGCGGCGGAGGCGGAGGAGGCGGCGGCGGCGGCGGCAAGGAGGGCTTTGAGGGAGACACGAGGAGAGGCATTTTTCAGTTTTGGGGGCAAAGCGGGTCTTTCGAGGTCGAACAGTTGCTATTCAGTATTTTTCACATTTAATTTCATATATGTTTTTTTTTTTTCGTGGATGCACTGAACTGAAAGGTATCAATGATTCTTTCCGTTTTTAAACCTTCCGATATAGAACCAGATCGATTTAACTTTTCCTTTCCGTCACGTTCACAAACGTACTGAGCACATTTCCCTCAAGGACACGAGTAAAGTAATGATGAAAAAAAAAAACAGAAAAAGCTCAAGCGTACTCACCCTTTCCCGCAAGCACGTCCCTGGCGCGGTATTTCTTGCTGACCTTCTTGGTGGTGGATCCCCTCCGCGCCCGCGCCCTCAGGCTCCCCTCGCAAGGGGAACCTGACCGCAGCCCGTTTTTTGAATGGCTCCTGCTTCGGCTGCCCCTGGAGGAGCAAGGGCGACTCAGGGCCGGGGAGAGCGTCAGGGTCGAGGAGTTGCCCGACGGATGCCGCAGGTGGTGCCGGCGGGGCGTGTAGCCCGGCGGCAGGTCGTGGGGGTCGACGCCCCTCTCCAGGAAGGTGATGCTCTCGTACACGCTGTCGGGCGGGAGCTGGAACTTGGACGTGTCGTCAAGATCGTCCTGCGGCTGGCGGTGGAAGTCGTTCGTGTCCTCCAGGCCGACGGTGTCGTTGGAGCGGTCGTTGTCGTAGTGGCGGAGGGTGTGGTGTGGGCGTGCGGGAAGCGGGGGTGGAGTGGGCGAGGGAGAGTCGTTCTGGGGGACAAAGACAAAGGGTCAGCTACTTAATAAATAAAATATGTTATATGCAATATCGTTTTGTAATGGAAACAGAGAAACGGGTAACTAAATTCGCACTAATTACGCATTGCTAAAACCAAAATCACTTCCTAAAAACCGAACGGCCCCCGACACCTACCTGGACTGTCTCGCGGGTCTTCTTCCCCCTCTTGACGGCCCGGGGCGTCCTGTGCGAGCGCGTGCCCAGGGGCGCCCCCGTGTCCAGGTTCTTCTCCAAGGTGCCCTGGTACTTCCTCGGCGTGGAGTGCTGCGTCCTGGTGGTCTGCCTCCAAATGCGCGACGGCGTGACGGGCGAGCGGGCCACCCTGGCGCCCTTCTTGCCCTTGGGCGTCTTGCAGGAGGCGCCGAACTCCAGGCTCCTCCTGGCCAAGGGGGAGTCGCTCTTCCTCGAGGCCGAGGACTGGGTCACCCACGAGTCGGACTCGTCGCCGGGGATGGTGCAGTACTCGTGGTCGAGGAACTTCTGGTGGTCCAGGATGTCGTCGTCGTCCTCGGGCGCGGGATTCGGCGCCGGGGCGACGGCCGGGCGCGGCGCGAAGTCCCTCGGCGGCTTCACTGGGATGGGCGTCAGGTAGGTGCTCTCGTGCACCTTGGCCGCCAGGCGGTGGGCGGCGCCGGTCTGCTTAGCCTGCAGGGTCTTGATGTCCGGCGACTCGTAGCACGGGTTACTCTGCAGCCAGATGTTCGCCAGTGGCTTCCGGTTATTATTGTTCTGGCACACGACCTTCGCGATGCGCGAGTTCCGCATGTTTTCCTTTTCGCACAACACCTTTTGGCGCACTTCGTAGTTCACATTTCTCACCTTGCTCGGCTCTGGCGAGTGGTACATGGGGTTTCCCACGTACCAGACATTGTTGCGTCCTTCGTCCTCATTCTTTGCAATGTGAGGCCTCACAAATTTCACTTCTTTCTTCACATCAGGACTTAAGTACATGGGGTTGTCCACAAACATGAAGATCCCCACCTTCGGGGCCACGGGGGCGTCCGCAGGAGCCGTGGTGGCGGCGGCGGCGGGCGCGCCCTTCCCCTTCTTGCTGCGGAACGACTTCCTCAGCCTGGCCAACATCTTCTCCTCCGACACTTGCTTAATCTTCTCGACCAATTTCGGGCTGAGGAACACGTTGTCAGCCGCGTCGCTGTCGAGTGTGCACAGGCTGATGGAGTCAGCCACGGAGTCCGGGGAGGGAGGCGCTTCCTCGCTCAGCTCTTCGTCGAGGTCCTGGTGGTCGAAGGTTGAGTACTCGTCCAGCAGAGCTTCCATAGACCAGTCGGCGCTCACGGATTCCTCAGGCTCGTCTTCTACCAGCGGCTGCGCATTGTCTTGTAGCATGCGCTGTAGGCGATATGAACTCTCTTCTCGGCGCCGCTGCTGCCGCGCCGTCAGCGGGTCCTTAAAGCTGCCGTCCTGAGAATCGGAGTCGCCACAACCACTAACGCACTGACTCAGGTCTGGCCGAGCACTGTCCTCACAGGATGACGGCCCGAGAGGCACTGAGAAGCAGGCACCCTCGTGCCCCACGGCCAGATGCAGCCCACCGCTCATCTCCACCGGAAGTGGTAGTGTCGGGTTTCTGTTCGGGGAGCGGTGGTGGGTCGGGCTGGGCTGGGCAGCGGCGGGCGGGGGCTGGTGGTGCTGGGACGCCGGCGAGGACGCGAGTGAGCCCGTCGCACCGTCCGCATGCCCACCTGCCCTACCTGACCCTTTTGTGGCCCGCCCCCCGCCTGTCTCCTCCCCCTCGTCCTCCTCCCCGCAGCCTCCTGCCCACCATTGTCCCGATTGTTCACTTGTGTTGGGGCTCGTTTGCTCGCCATTGACGTCCAGGCCGCGGAAGGCCCGGGAATCGCATCTCGCTTCGGGGTCCTTTAAGATTTCCGCCATGGACTCCATGAGGGGCACGTTGGGCGGGGAGGACAGCGCCGCCGATGAGCTCAGACACTGCAGCGACTTGGACTTCTTGAGAGCCGAGTCGCAGTGGTCAGACACCTCCATCCCCCACAGCGAGGTGTCGTCGCTGAACTCGATCTTTGAAAGTCTACGGGAAATGTCCTCCAGGCCGGCCACGGAATGGCGGCGCGACGCGGACGTGTCCAGCGTTGCGGCGGTGCGGTTCGGCGTGGAGACTTTGGTTGATTCGGAAAATAAATTCCTTCCTACAGCACTTAAAAGCATTTTACTCACATCAGCGCTTTTACTCTTTAGCGTGTCGAAGTATTGTTTAGGACTAAGACAAAAGGAGTCTAAGTGTGAACATGAAATGCTAGACATTGTTTGCTGCAAAGATGGAGGTTTTATCTGATGAAACATATCGTCAATGCATGCTTCAGTAAGAAAACTAGATTGCCCTGCAAAACTCCTGCGAGAGAATGGTCCGTCTTTGAGAAAACTTTCAAGAAAACGAGGATCAGTGATATCGTGGGACACATTAGAAAAAATAGTTGAGTTCCTGCTCGCCTCAACGTTTTCTTTAGTTAGCTTTGCCTGACCGTTTTCTTTGAATGAGTGAAGATCCTCCATGCTGAGGGGTGTGCAGGGTTCCTCAAGTAAACTGTCACTTCGCGGAGTCTGTGGGCTTCTCGGGGCGCTCATGGGACTTACCAAAGGCGTAGTGATGCCCTCGGAAACACCGCTATCAGGGTTATCACTACTCGATGTGTTATGACCGCGAGGAGTCGAACCCTCCACGCTGGCGTCTTCAGACGATTTGTTAATGGGATTATCGTCGTCGTCAAAACTAAATTCTATCGCCATACTGTGGCGCAGTTTTCGCTTTTTCGCAGACTGAGTCAGCTCTTCCTCCTGGCGAGTGTTTTCGTAGATAACAGGAAGGTGCGACTCGGATTTCTGTTTGCTCGAAGCCTTAGATTTCGTCTTGCTCTTCGTGATGCTCGAACTCTGGCTGGACTTGCATTTTCTCGGAGGCGGCGGCGGAGGCGGCCTCAGGTTGTGCAGCGGGATGGTGGGCTCGGCGTGCTTCTCGGAGTAGTTGATGTGGACGTGCTGGCCCGTGCTCTTGTACACCTTGGTGGGCTTGGCCTCGTGGCTCGAGTGCACCTCCTCGTCCTGGCAGCCCTCGGCCATCTTGCACGGCTTCTTGGACGGCTGGGAGGCGATGTAGAGCCCGTACTGCGGCATCGGGTGCTGCCTGTCGTTGGGGGACTTGCCGAAGCGAGCGATGAGGTCGTTGGAGATCTTGATGGCCACGGGCTTGTGGATGTCTTTCTGGGGCTCGGAGGTGAAGGCGCAGGTGTCGTCCAGCTCGCTCTGGTCGTCGAAGTTCGGGGGGTCCGGGAGCGGACGATTGCGGTCCAGCGACTTCTTGAGCACGTTCTTAATCTCCGTCATGGGCAGGTAGAGCATGTTTTCGTAGAGGTGGTCGCGCATGTGCACGGGCGTCTTGTTGGGGTCGGGCGAGATCCGCACGTGGAGGGAGGAGTACAGGTGGTCGTTGTCCCACTCCTCGACATCCTCCAGCTGGCAGTGCGCTCGTAAATCCTTCATGGACATGTAGATGGCGTTGTCGTAGGAGTTCTGGCTCTTCCTCGAGCTGATGCTTGAGCCCGAGATGCTCTTGGATTTCTTGGAGGTTATGCTCGAGCCGGAGGTGTTCGCGCTGCCGACCTTCTCGTAGATGGGCTCCTCCTTCGCCCTCTCGCGACTCGCCCTCCGCCCCTCGACGCGCTCGCTGCCCTGCCGACCTCTCTCCTCCGGCTGCTCCTCGTCCTCTTTTCTCCGGTCCCTGCTGTACCTCGGGAGCCGCACCCTCTCGCGCGAGCCGTCCCGCTTCCTCTCGTGGCTCGACGACCGCCCTCGCCGCGCCTTCTGGATCTCCCACACGCCGCGGAAGGAGGACTCCGTCGGGATGTCGGCGATGGAATGCCTCTTGAGGGCGTTGGTGGAGGAGGAGGAGGAGGAAGAGGAAATGGACGCTCCGCGAACTTCATGGAGGCGGGACTGGCTCTGCCCCTCCGCCATGCCTCGGTAGCTGCTGCTGGTGGTGATGGTGGTGGTGGTAGTGGTGGCGGAGGCGACGGCGACGGTCGTGGTGGGGAAGGCGACGGTGCTCCCGGCCAGGAGGCTGGAGTTCACGGCCGCCATGGGACGCGATCGCGACGAGGAACGCGATCTACAGAACGGGGGGGAAATGAAAACAAAGGAAAATTTTAGACACTACATGGCAGAACGTTCGACTATATTTCGCCTCCTTTTTAAAGGAAAGAAAAGAGCAAAGCAAATAAAAAGAAAAAAAAATAAGCCCTTAACCACAGCCGAGGGAAGTTAACCACAATTCGCCGAACTCGTGACCATAAGCCTACCTGGATCTGGAGGAAGAGCTCGAGCGATGGCGGTGCCCGCGGAGGAGGTTGGCCTGGGAGGCGGTGGCGCCCAGGGGCTCTGGGCGGGGGAGGTGGGCGTGGCCAAGGGCTGCAGTCTTGAAGAAGAGGAAGGAAGGGGGGGGGGATGTTAGCATATGGGACAATGTGGAAAGATGTTTGGTTTCAAACTATACTAATATTAGCATTATTATCGTTATTGATAATTTTAATTATAGTAATAAAGATAATAATAGCAATAACAACAATAATGATGATGATTATTATTATTACTATTATAAAGATAATAATAATGATAGTAATGGTGATGATGATAACAGTAGCCATTATTATTATCATTATCACCCTCAACATCATTATTAGAACAAGCATAACCGCAGAATAACTCACTTGGAACTGTCCCTCCTGACCATAACTGTGTTGGTGATGATGGTGAACATGGCGCGAGGAAGGAGCGAACTGTTGGAGATAAGGAGGCAACTCCGAGTGATGGTGATGGTGATGATGATGATGTTGTTGCTGCTGCTGCTGCTGTTGGTGATGGTGGTGGTGATGGTGGTGATAGGGATGGTGGAGGTGTGAGGCGGAGATCTGTTGGAGATGCTTCCTCAGGTCGCTGTAGTCGCCGTTGGAGATGTCGATGAGGGGCTTCCTGCGGGGGTCGTGCGGGCCCGTGGTGGCGACGACCTGTGGGCGGGGCTGCAGGGCGGCGGGCGTGTGGTCGAGCTTCATGTACACGCTGCCGGTGTCGCTGTCGGTCACCTCGCCGGAGAAGAGGCGAAGCGGGTCCAGCGGATTACATCTAAGAAAGAGAAGAAAAGAAAAATGACGATGAAGAATTTAAAAAAATAATAATAATATAAAAGCGCTGGAATTCTATATAGTTTTTTGTTTTGCGCATTAGAAAGGGAATTATGAATATTCGGAATAATACCTTATGTGTTTGTGATGTCGTTTTCTTTTCTTGTCTTCCTCGTTGTGTGCGGAAGAAATCCACTTCTTGAAAATAGATTCGTTCTCCTTCCCGTGGCCGAGTTTCCCGTTCTCATGACAGAGCTCATCTCCGTTTTCTTTGGATGTTCCCAGGATCCTTGAGGTAGACCGAACTTGGGCCACTTTTACCTGAAGAAAGCATCATAAAAACGTATTTAATACCCTATACCCAAGGATTAAATGAAAATTGGGTTTGATAATAATAAGAGAATAATCGGATATTACAAAAGTCGACTCAAATCATCACAAAACCTTCACATCTTCTCAGTCACTCCCTTCACAAAAATATCATAGTCCTCCCTTAATTTCCTCCCACCCTTCATCCGTGCTCTGCTTTAAAACCTCATTTCGACCCTTAAAAATATCCCAATCACACCTGAATCTAACCCATCAACCCCTAAACGCATCCACGCCACCAAAACCATCTCGAACCTACCTGGTTTTCCATCCAGCATTTGTTTGAGTCCTTGAGATTGAGTTTAACCTCCGCTTCTCGCACTTGGTACCTTACTTCGGGCGGAGGGGGCGTTGGGGCGTCACTGGGGTTGCGGAGAGTCCACTTTAACATCCTGACGGAGGCCTGCAGGAGGAGATAAGAGAAAAAAAAAAGTTAGTTAAAATGTTTGTGAAACATTCGTAAGTATATTAATAATACTAATCATACGGGTTTCAACAGTCATCCCATCACATCGCTTTCCATAATATTTGTGAAATCTCTTCAGATTCTAATAATTATTCTATTTTAAGTATCGCAGTTCAAAAATTCCGTTTAGTTAGCCACCCCGAACAATATCATCTCTAGTACGCAACCCTGATAACAAGAATCCTCTACAGTACATGAATAACTCGCCAATCCGTCTTTCCGAACAGACACGTATTGACTGCGGTGTCATAGAACACGGCCTTCTGTTAAACACCCGAGGCGGTAGAATGTCATAAAAGATTTGGAGAGAAGAGAAAATAATTAAATGTGAGTGTGGAAGAAAAAAAAAACAAGGTTTGTCCTTAGGGAGAAATACATTATTGATGAAGGATTGTTTTGGATTCTTGTTACAGGGGGGAGTTTCGTGGTTTATTGTATAGAGAGAATAACGACGTTTTTTTTCTCGTATGTTGTAGCCGCCACTGTTAACTTACTGAATATTGATATGCAAATGATATATGATAACCAGCCATTAGTTTAGATGTATTCTAATTTGTATTATGTATATACAGCCTAGAGATAAAACTGAAACACACACACACACACACACACACACACACACACACACACACACACACACACACACACACACACACACACACCGCAGGAAACAATAACCACAGCTCCTTCTCTTTCCGACTCTACAATAGACTAGTAAATACAAGAGCCATTAACCAGGCCATCTTCATCGGTGTTGCCTAATCTAGCGCTTTTCCCGCTAGATCTCCAGTTTTTCTGTTGTTGTTGTTGTTTTTGAGTTACTATCTAGCGAGAAAATGTTTGAAAGTTTATTCTATATATAGCGATTGTTGAATTCCTTTCTTTAGCGGGAAAAGGAGGTGATTTTTGTCTAGCGGTTTTTAAAATTCAGTCTAGCGGTTTTTTGGAAATATCTTCGCACGTTTTGCAAGCAGCCTTTCACAATACACACTTTCACGTCTTGGGGGGAGAGGGGGGGGGGGGGCAAGAAAGCCGGGAGGGGGGGAGAGGAGAGATGGAAAATAAAAAGGTGGGTGATATGGTGAAGGAGGTAGGAGGGAGGGAGGGGGGGGGGTGATGGAAACGAAGATGGTGAGAGAGAGAGATAGATATGATAAAGGAGGTAGGAGAAGGGGGATGGAAGGAGGGGGGGGGGTGAGGAACGATCGAAGAAAGGGAGGAAAAAAAGGAACGTAGCAAAATTGAAAATAAACACTCGGACGTGAATTTTTGTCAGTATATTTAACCTTCATATAGTCTCCTTTTTCACGCCCTCCCCTCTCACCCCCCCTACCTCCCCACACCCGCCTTATCACCATATCTCAAGTATTTCAGAATCTCTCACGCCCCCGTGCGCTAAGAACTTATGAATATGAATGTCCGTCAGTTAGATTTCGCATTTTTCGTGTTTGTGAAAAAGTCATGAATATGCAGAAAGAGAGAAGGGATCTCTTTTCTTTTCTCTCTCTCTCTCTCTCTCAATCTCTCTCCCAATCTCTCTCTCTCTCCCAATCTCTCTCTCTCTCTCAATCTCTTAGTCTCCCAATATCTCTCAGTCTCCCAATATCTCTCAGTCTCCCAATATCTCTCAGTCTCCCAATCTCTCTCTCTCTCTCTCTCTCTCTCTCTCTCTCTCTCTCTCTCTCTCTCTCTCTCTCTCTCTCTCTCTCTCATATATCTGTATCACAATACCTTACCCAGACCTTCAGACCACCCTATGTAAATCTTAAAAGTTCCTCTTCCATACAAGACGAAAGGTGTAATTTGGTAGCCGAAGTCTTGCCGAAAGAAGGGGCACTCGTAGGGTATTGTAGTGAAGCCGATGTATCACGAGGCTATTGTATTCCGGGACAAAAATACGTAGCGTTGCCATAATCCCTAAACCTCCTCTCCCTAACCCCATACACCTCCTCTCACCCCCTCACCCCCCTACATACCCTCTCTCACCCCCCCTCCCCCTACACACACACCCTCTCTCACCCCCCCCCCCTACACACACACCCTCTCTCACCCCCTCCCCCTATACACACACACCCTCTCTTACCCCCTCCCCCCCACACACACCCCTCTTACCCCCCCATACACACACCCCTCTTACCCCCTCACCCTCCCCTTCTCCCCCCCCTTCATTCTTGTCTAGTACCCGAAGATGGTGGCGGTTCGGCTAGACAGGAGGCCGGGGGTATATGTGTGATTGCTACCGCCGCGTTGAAAGGGGAGGTGAGAAACTGCCATGAATATGTAAATAATGGTTGGAATAATCTGGGGGTTGAGAGAGTATAATCAACACGCTTTTTTTTTGGAGGGGGGGAGGTGGGTGGAGGTGGAGGTGGGAGGGAGAGGGGAGGATAGAGAGGGAGAGAGAGAAATAGGGAGAGGGAGAGAGAGAGATGGAAAG